CATAGGTTTTCCCATGGCATCTACCCTCACTTCTTTCAAGTCTCTTCCTCAGAGATTCTAAAACCGTGGGTCAAATCCATTTCACCTGTCTTTACTAATCAAGGTCATCCTCACTTTTGCTACAAAAGACTTGCCTATTTTCCTCATAGCCTGTCATTTTCCAAGAACTTACAGCCAGCTGTGCCTAGTTCAAGCCGAGTCAGTTAAAACTAAATGGGACCGGTGATCCTCCAAATGGGCATGTGCCAGTGTCCTTTAGCCATTGGAGGGCTGAAAACTCCATTCTCAGATCCTGCCAAGTGCTTGAATACTTGAATGTACCAAGGCCTGCGGCTTAGTCACACCTGTGCTGAACGACAATTACAGCAACTTTTTCTAGTCACCTTCCCCATGCTCCCCATTCCTCAGACCACCCCGCTACTTTAATCTTTATCTCATAAATACTGGAGCCCCTCGCCTTCAGGGAGGCAGATTTAAACCTGCTCACCACTCTCGGCTGCCTTGAGAACAAACCCTGTCTTTGCTGCAGACCTTGTCGTCTCAGGGTCTTGACTTGGACAAACCTGCTTCCCTAACAAGTCCCTCCCCGAGCATCCTGCTGAAACAGTCCGTTCCATTGCCTATCCTCAGATCAGCTTTACTTTCTTCATAATGCTTGATGTTACCTGAAATTGTATCATGTTATTTGACTCTCTGCTCAAGGTCTCCCCATTGGAAAGTAACCCATGGGTTCAGGGATTTTCGTCTTGTTTATGGCTATATTTTCAGCCTCTGGAACCGTGCTTGGCATATGGTAGACACTTAAAACCTACTAGCTGAATGCTCGATGAAGTAAGTGAATGAGTTGCAGAATTATTATGAAGTACACATTTAAAAATAAACCTTAACTCTTGACTTTGTTTTCAAATATATTTTTATTTTGTACATATTGAGTATTCCTTTAAAAATGAGATGTAATTCACATTTTTAATGGTCTTACCTTCCCTAATCTATCCCTTAGCCTATTTTCTCCCAACCCCTCCCTAAAGTATTCTAAATTAGTGAGATTCTGTAGTAATATGTGGAAATAGGCTCTTGTTGTTCATTTGAGGGAAGAAACAGTTGACTTTAATTATGATTTGATGATCAGCAGGCTTTCCTGGTAAGAAGGGAATAAAGAGCTGGTATCTTTATGAAGGCATGAAGAACTGGTGTTTTTCTGTCTCTAAAGGCTATGTGTGAACAGAAAAGATTATCTTTTTTGTTTAAAAACTATTTCATAGGTGACTCCACAAAGAGTCATCTTCAATTAACTCCCCGTACAGTAACTCAGAATTATCATCAAAATAGATGAACAAGAATGACCCTCTGCTCAAAAAAAAAAAAAAAAAAAAAATGAGTAAAAACACATTTTCAAAAGTATCCCCCAAAGACTTCTCTTTCTCATGAAAAATTCAGAGCAAGAAAGAATGTTATTTTCCTAAGAGAAAGCATGTATTTGGCCATAGACAAGCCTTCCCCAGCTTCCCTCAAAGCTGAGGAGATTTTCTGATGGAGAAAATTGACAACTTTGCCTTGAGCCTTAATTTTATAGCTTTTTACCAGCAGTGGCAGCTGTGTTTACTGATGGCCCTGCACTGCCCCTGAACAAATTCAAGATTAAGTAAAGGATTGCTGTTTTCAGACAATTACCAACAAAACGAACAACCTCTTACTAAGCGTGACGCTCCAGGCCTCATGTCCTTACCTTTAAAAATTACCTCAGAAGCTGCTGCTTTTAAAGATAGAAGTTGGTGTATCTGCTGCAGTAGCATGTTTATACCAGTGAAGCTGTGGTTTTTGGCTTTAGCTGCATGTTAGATTCACGGGAAGGGGCTTAAAAGGGAAACAGCGGCCTAATGCTAGAACTCTGGTGGGCCCAGGGATCCTTACTTGTTGCTAAGTGTTTGTTCACTCGCCAGGATATTCCAGCACTGGCTCTGAGAACCACCACTCTCTGGCCCAGGCCACAGTGCACCCCTGAGTTCCATCCTGGATGGGGCATCCGGTGGGGTTGCTCACTGATCCTGCTCCCAGGCCAAGTTGTAAAGACCGTTAAGTTTGACTTTACTCTCTCATCTGCCTCTCTGTGCCCTTCACTCCAAACTTCCCCTCCTGACTTATTTCTCAGTGCTCTTATCCTGCCCTATGCCCACAGTTAAGCACTTGGGCTCTGAGGCAATTCTTGTTAAAAGAAAGCTCATACCCTTCCTAGTGCAGTAGTATTCTGCTCTAGCACCAAAAAATATGTAACTGAAAAGAAATGTGGAATGCTACAGAAAGTCACTGGTGAGCTGAGGTAAAATTAGGGAGAGGGAAGTGCTCCTGACTCTCATCAGGCCCCTTCTGGTGAGCAGCAGTCTGCTCAAAAATACGCCGTTCTGCTGGGTGACTCTGGCAGATTAGTTAACCTCTCAGTGCCTCAGTTTCATCATCTATAAAACAGGGGTAACATTGTCGTGAGGATTATATATGAAAAGCATCTGGAGAGTTCTTGACCCACCGTAAACAGTCAGTGCACTCTAGCAATGATTAATATCGCTGTTATTATGAATTAAAATTCTTGAATTTAAGATTGGGTGAGAATTCCACACAGAGCAGGCAAATAAACAGAGAAAGCATAATGATTTATTTCTTTTGCTGCTAACATTCTCTGAAGTTCAAGAAATACTTTGAGCTATGGCATCCTCACCAGTACACATATGTGTCTAGTTCCCGTATCTCAAGACAATGTCTAATTTATGCTATTCACTTACTTGTATAAATTCTAAGATCTAGGAAGAAAAACTCTATACCTGAAACTAACTAAACTGTATTTCAATTTAAAAAAAAAAGGATCTCACTTTTCCAAAAAGGCTGAGTGGTCAAACAATTTATGCATTCCTTTGTAGAAAATATGCTTTCTACCTACCAAAGAAAAAGTGTACTACTTGCAAAGAACTGGGAGTAAAAATGCCCAGAGATGACCTAATTAATTGACTTCTGTCCCTGGAAGAAACATGAGTGTTTGTCCCCTGACACAGAAGTTTTCATCTTCTTAGTGACTGATCTGAATGTACTGAATGTCAAAGTTAGGGGGTGTTTCTATTATTTTTGTTTTGGAAGTTTCCTAGAGAAAGCTTAAAAGAGAATTTTTCTTTTACTTTGTTTTAAAGTTCACTGAATTCTTAGAGGCTTCTGGATGCTTAAAATATTTTTAGGTGTTGCTAAAAGTGGAATCTAGTTTTATACAAAAGAAGTTCTTGAAGTTGCCTAAAAATCTACTTTGGGAGGGCCTTTAGATAGCACAGAGGATTCTAGTGATGGAACTGCTCTTTGTCTGATCATACTGTTGCTCACATGAATCCATACATGTGATAAAACTGCACAGAAATAAACACACACACACACACACATGAGTGCATTAACTGGTAAAATCTGAATAGAGCAGATTGTTTAAAAGGTTAAAAAATCTAATTTTTGAGAATATAACTTTTGAATGGAACACTTCTAAGTGTCCTTTTGTAAAGTTCTATGGTCTATATCATAATCTAAGAGATCTTCATTAAATTTTGAGCTTTAATTCACAATGACCTTCCACACTTAACATTTTTTTTTTTATTGTTGTTCAGTTGCTAAGTTGTGTCCAGTTCTTTGCCACCCCATGGACTGCAGCATGCCAAGCTCCTCTGTCCTCCACTACCTCTGGAGTTTGCTCAGATTCATGTCCGTTGAGTCCATGATGCTATCTAACCATCTCATCCTCTGCCACCCCCTTCTCCTTTTGCCTTCAATCTTTCCCAGCATCAGGGCCTTTTCCAATGAGTCAGCTCTTCGCATCAGGTGGCCAAAGTATTGGAGTTGCAGCATCAGTCCTTCCATTGAATATTTAGGGTTGACTTCCTTTAGGATTGACTGGTTTGATCTCCTTGCTGTCCAAGGGACTCTCAAGAGTCTTCTCCAGCACCACAGTTTGAAAGCATCAATTCTTTGGCACATAGCCTTTTTTATGGTACCGCTCTCACATTCATACATGACTACTGGAAAAAACCATAGCTTTGACTATGTGGACCTTTGTCAGCAAAGTGATGTCTCTGCTTTTTAATATGCTTTCTCGGTTTGTCATAGCTTTTCTGTCCAAGGAACAAGCATCTAATTTCATAACTTTACATTTTTCCTATAGCCTCTTTGTTATGAGATAAAAAGTTTATAACTCACAAGAAAGTGACTTAAATGAGCTTAGTGACTAATGCAGCATCTTGTGATTTTCTTTAGAAAGTCATTTTTATTTCTATCAAAACTACTCTCTCATCTGTTTGTTTTAGGAGATATGGTTTGCTTTTAAAGATATGGTGGGGTGCCATGTTTCAAAGGTGTATCCCAATAGACCACACTTTGGAATTGCTGCCCTGCATAGCCCCTTTTTCATTGCCTGTGACCTGGCCTATGACTTGCAGTAGCTAACAGTGTGGCGTCTGTGATTGGATTAGAGTTAAGATTGGCAGCTTTTTCTCCCTGCTCTGGGGACGTCTGCTTTTGGGAGCCCTGGGCTGACAAGTAAAAGCAAATTCACTACCCTCAGGAGAGAGCACTTCGGAAATCCATGTAAGGAGGCTCTGGAATGATACGGAGTGGAGGCGAACTCCAGCAGTATCAGTGTCCTTGTTGAATTTCCAGATGACTCCAGTCCTACCTGCCATCCATTGCATGAAAGGCTTCAAAAGAGACCAAAAGAAGAACCACCCAACTGAGCCCAGCAACCCACAGAAAAGTGGGACAATAAGTGGCTGCTAGTTAAGTCCCTAAGTTTTGAGGCAGTGGGTTATATGGCACTAATATATTAATATATCTCACACCTTTAATCTTAGGATTTCAAATGAAACGAAAGTGAATTGGTGTTCTCAGAATAATTTATATACTACCTTGAGGAATTTTTTAAAGGAAAGAAAGCTTCCAATACATTCAGTAACTAGATTGGTGAATAGTATTAAATATTATTATTCTTAATCAAAAAACTCATCAAAATGTTGGATTCTCTCTGTCCTGGTCCTCACCAGTGCTCTTTTTTTTTTCTCTACTTTCCCTGACTCATCTGAGTTAGAGCTGGAGCTGTCCCAGAGAAGCTCTCCCCGGGCCTCCTGTTCACGGAGCCATGTTTCCATTTTGCCAATTTTCCTGTGACAGTGGTCATTCCTTGCTTGATGTTCCAGAAATTCTGCATTCTGTGTATTTCCTACAAAGAATTGAAAGTCCATTTAATTTATCTTTACCCTGGACAATGATGTATTTGTTTAAGCTTAGGTTTTTATACACACCCACACACACATATATACATAAAGATTTCACCTGGTGTTTCTGTAAGCATTAAAAATGTTTTTCTTGCTATTTATAAAACTTTTTAATCTTCTGAAAATCACAAGATGTACAATATACTTTTGTATACTCCAGCTCATCAACATTGTGTCACAATATGTATATGTGTATACATACACACACAAACTTGTCTTGAGCTAAGCCACTTGAGAATTAGTTGCAGAGTCACTTCCTCCCAAAATATAGCACCACAAATCCCTTAAGAAGATGGGCAATTTTCCTGTATAACCACAATACAATTATTACACTTAGAATATATGACATTGATACAATGCTGTTTTCTAATATATGGTCTGTATTCAAATATCCATGCTTATCCCAGTAATGCTCTTTGTAACTATTTTTTGTTTGACTGTTTGCATTTTATTTTTTAAGTACAGGATCTAATCTAGGAATATGTGTTGCATTTTCTTATCGCTTAGTCTCCTTTAATTCAAGAACATTCTCCTATCCTTTTCTTTCTTCTCTTCTCCTTCCTTCCTTTCCTCACTCCTTTCTTCTCCCCCATCTCTTCCCCTCCTCCTTTTTCTCCTCCTCCTCTCTTGCTCCCCACTCCCCACTCTCTTACTGATTTTTCCCCTCCTCTTCCTGGATGTTTTCTTCCTCCTCCTCTTCATTACCTTCCTTTTCCCGCATTTATTTTAAAACCATCTATTTTTTGGAGAATAGATTTATTTTTTTGGTGTTGGGTTTTACACATATGTCTTTACTTCTGCTTCTTATTTAAGTAGTATCCAATGCCCTTTTAGAATGCACTTCAGAACACCACACACAGCCTTATTCAGAGAAAGTGGATTTTAAGAAAAAAAATCTTAGTGACCGTTTTCAAGTTTGGAAAACCATCCTAGGTCAAAGTCCAGATTTCCCCTATGGCAGAATCAGCCACAACTTTCTGGATATTTTCTGAATGATCATTGTTTATCAAATCTTATGGCATATTTTATTTAAGCCCTTGATGTCTGAAATTGCATATTTTTACAAAGGATAATCAAACATTTCAATGTGAGGATTCATGCCTTGTGATTCACGAGTTTCCTTTCAGTCTTAATGAGGGGCTACCTTTTTTTCCCCTTGAATGTTATTCTTATGAGCATTGTTTATATACATAGCAGTGACAGAAACCTATAGTTAATTTATGACTCCACCCCTAATCTGTCTCCTGAAATATGATACATTTTTTTAAAAATAAAACTGGACTCTTCCTCTTTGTCTCCTGGCGATATGTCAGCTCCATCTTCTTTTTCTGTCTTAAACCTGCCTCTTCTCCTTATTACCCTAGCCTAGCACATGGTCCTACCTTTGCCCCAGAACCTCCTGGCCACCTCTCTGTCTCCATGCCCTGCATATAATTCACCACCAGATGTTCACCATGCCTCCAGAGCCATCTCCAGTCACCCTCTGTCTGAATCTCTCTTCTCTAACTGGTGCCTACATATCTTGTATCTGGCTCTTTCTCTCCCTCCTCATTGTCACCCTTCTCTCCTGGTCCAGATACCACCTCTCTCTTGCACTACTGCTGTGTACTTCTAACCTGTCTCCCCACATCCTTTTGCATTCCTCTCCCACCCATTCACCACAGTTCAAGTAGAGTAATATTGAAAATATAAACCTGTTAGTTCACTAACCTGCCCTTTCAGTGGCTTCCCATTGAATCTTAAGATAGAGTTCAAAGTCTTTATTTGACATGATTTATAAGACCCTGCCTGCCGTGTTCTCTCACTATGCCTCCAGAGCCATCTCCAGTCACTCTCCATCTGAATCTCTCTTCTCTAACTGGTATCTAGAATCTGGCATGCTCCTTCCCACTCAAGGGCCTTTGTACATGCTGTTACTGATCACAGTTTTGAATGTTCCAGCACTTGGACATCACACTCATGTGCTCACCTGCTCCCATCATTCAGCTACTTCCATCTCAGCTTAAATGCCACTTTCTCATAGAAACTGTCCAACTCCTCAGATTACTAGGTCTCTAGTTATATTCTCATTGGACTTTCTTTTGTTCATTGTCTGTGCTATTGTAAGTAACACATCTACCCAGTTCAGTAAATATTTGTTGAATGAGTAAATAAAGGAATGAACAAGTGAGCCATCAGAGAATCTTGGAAGGTGGGAAATATTGATAACTGAGACCTGGGAAAGGCTTCATTCATTGAGGCCTGGAGCTGTCAATCATCTCTGCTCTACAAATGAGCCTAGAATATTAGAAACATCACTCAGACTGAGAATAAGGATTTTCTGTGGACAAGAGGCAGGGAATTAGAAACAAGAAGAGACTGGTAATGGTGGAATCTAACATAACATTAATAATAGCTTGGTCTCCCGACACTCTTGGTGTTATGATGTTTCCGTTAGCATGTGAGGCAAAAGTCACGTGTTCAGTATTATCCTTGAAAATCCCTTAAGTCACTAGCAAAGCACTGTAAACAAAGTTTTGTATAGAAAGCATTCAAGTTTGAGAACTTCTGAGCTGGATGTCTTATTACATTTTGATAAATCCCTGTTGGATTCTTTATGGCTGCTGGACTTGAAAAAAAAGAAAAATACAGTGTTTAAAACCTAAATAGATTTTGGGTGAGCAGAGGAGAGGAAAGTATATCGTACTGATACTTCAAAATGAATTTGGAGAGAGACAGGACTTCCCTGGTGGTCCAGTTGCTAAAACTCTGCGCTCCCAGTGCAGGGGGCCTGGGTTTGATTCCTGGTCAGGAAACTAGATCCCACATGCTGCAACTAAAGATTCCATGTGCCACAACTAAGACCCAGTGAAGCCAAATAAATAATTATTTTAAAAAGTTAATCTTGAGAGAGGAAAGAAACAGAGGCCAGTGGGGAAAAATAGGGAATGATTTAGGTAGTACAAGGATCGTACAAAATATTAACAATTTTTGATGGTTATGTATTTTATAATATGCTAGAAAAATGTTATTGCCACTATCAAACCCATGACCCATTTTTTTCCTCCTAAAAATGGAGCATAGCCGGAACATAGGCTTCCATGGGCATTCTACTAGTCAGGTTCTGGCACCTCTGCACCCAGCTCCTCTATTTGTTCATTTTGTTCCCTCTTTTGGAAAGGAGGATGAGAATTTCAGGTCACAGCTGATTCACAAACAAAGATAAATTTTAAAAATAAAACTAAGCAAGATACCTTAAAGGAAAATACTAAGTAAATAATAGTACAAGTGGCCAGGTAAGACCAGAATTGTGAAGGTGACATTCAAATGATGTATGTAGAGTGACACTTCCCCTGAAGCATATCTTATTTTTGCTGTAAGACATCAGTTTCATATTTCTTCAGTTCTGTCCATATTCATATGATACTTTACATTTTACATGTGTTTTTACACATGTTATAATATTTGAAATTTACATAAACTCTGCATGGTAGACATAATGCTTTATTCCCATTTTACAGATGTGGAAACTGAGGTTCACAGAGGTTAGACAACTGTAGAATAAAGCTATATGAACAAATATGTAGCTAATATCTATCAAGAGGCTACTAGTACCAGATACTGTTCTAGTCATAAGAGAAGCTCCTGGCTCTCACAGAGCTTCTGTTGAATAATGTACTGTCAGCATTCAAATAAAGGATTTTGATTACAAGTCCAGTGCTTTTTCTCCTCACTAGATTAATGTCATGGCTTCTGGAAAGTGTAGGAGCCACATTCACATGTTAAAACTCACAGAATTATCTGCCTGAAAGGGTGATGTTCACTTTGTATAAGTCATGTATCATTACATATTACACAGATAGCATGGCCACCCACTCCAGTATTCTTGCCTGGAGAATCCCAAGGACAGAGGAGCCTGGAAAGGTATAGGATCGCAGAGAAGCAGACAGACTGAAGTCATTTAGCACAGCGCAGCACTACATGTAACTTACTCTAAGTATATGTAAAATATATGCAAAGCATCATGATTTCATTTTAAAGAAGCAGTGAAAAAACAAAAACTGGTTTTTAACCTCACAATGGACCTGACACTCTCATCCTCCCTTCCAAAAGAGGGAACAAAAGTGAACAAATAGAGCCTTAAATAAGAGGAGCTAGATGAAGAGGTACCAGACCCTGACTAGTAGAATGCCCATGGAAGTCTATGGTCTGACTACATTCCATTTTTAGGAGAAAGCAAAGTAAACTGCTTTCAGAAGCAGAGAAAGAAATCAAAGATGCTACGTGAGAAGAAGTAAAAAGGAATCACTGCTTGAACATATGCCTGCAGAGTGGTGAGTTCTACAGGCTTTGCAGAGGGAAGCCTGCTTTTGAGAGAGAGGGTGGAGGGAATCACAAACTGCATTTGCAGACTTTCCCGAGGTTGTCCTGGGCAGAGCTCTGGGCCACTAGAGTCCTGATGAGGCTAAACAACGGGGTGGGTGGGAGTGCACCCTTTGGAGTCGGAAAGACCTGGCCTTGAATCCTGATTTGTCACATGGGAGCTAATAGTAACTCCTGCCTTAGAGGTTGTGTGAAGCTTAAATGCAATAATTCATGTTAAGGGTGGACCTTTTTGCCTGGCTTAGAGTAAGCACTTGAGAAACTTTAGCTGGAATAAAATGAAGCAATTTAAAAAAATATATCAGGAGGGCAGAGGAGAACCCCCCTTCTCCATGTGACACAGTCTTCCAAAGACTTTGCCAGCATTGTTTTTTTTTTTTTTCCCCAGCCTGATCTCAAGCAATGACTCAGAGTGTTCAACTTTAGCTGAGGTATGTTTCTTGGTGGTTTTGCCAATATTTTTAAATGGTAAAAGTCGTTCATCTATATGACTACACACCAGATTTCATCCTGCAACTTGGGAGTATAGGTTAGATGGATGCTCCAAGTAGATTTTCAATTATTCAGCCTTTTCTTATTTAATTAACTCACTGATTAGGTATCTTGTTTTCCGGAGCAGTGGCAGTATCTCTTTCAGCTGGACTGCATCTTAGAAGCTCGAGACCTCCAGAGAAACAGCCAGCATTTCTGTTGCTCTGTTGGTGCTCGGTCCTCACTGACAGGGGATTGGCCCAGAGCACAGCGAGCTCTGTGTGTGTGAACAATATCTGTATTTGCAGTGATGGGCTTGCTCCGGGAGAGTACATACAATGCAAACTTAACGAGATTCTAATTGATGGGGTGATACAGCACAGAGTTTGTGAATACAAATGTCTGTTGGAAATCACAGAGCCATCTGGGGCCACTGGGCAACCTGGCCTGGCTGGAGTATGGGAACTGGGCATGATAATAGTAGGAGATGAAGCCAGAAAGGTAGGCAGTGTATAGACTCTGAAGGCTTAGGGCACCAGGGTAAGGAGTTCAGGCTTTGTCCTCAGGCTGATGGAGACTCACTGAAGGATTCCTTTTTAAGTGCAAGAGTGATATGATCAGATTGGCATTTCATAAGATTATCCTGGTAATAGTGCAGTGCTTCTAGAACTTTATGGTGCTTGAGAATCATTTTGATAAAATTCAGATCCTGATTGTGTAGGTCTGGGATGGGGCCGGAAATTCTATGTTTCTAATCAACTCCTAGGTGATTAGATGCTGCTGGTCTGTGGACAGCACTTTGATCACCAAGTGGAGCAGTAGTTCTTCAGCTTTAGGGGTGTTAGAATCATGGGGGGAGATGAGTTGTTAGACTGCTGGGCCCCCTCCCTACAGCTTCTGATTCAGTTGCTCTGCCTGGAGCCCTGACTGGTTCCCAGGTGGTGCTGGTTCTGGTGGTCTGGGGACCACCGAGGTGAAGGGTTGATGGAAGGAAAGTAGGACCTGAGATAGGAGTGCAGTCAGGGGGCTATGGCAATAGCCCTGGTGTGACATACTGACCTAAGAGGGGCATGGGGAATGGTATGGGGGTACAGTCAGCGTTAGGTGACTGACCATCTTCCAGGAGAGGGGGGCAAGCAGGGCTGGGAAGGTGCCAAATCTCTGGCCTGAGTGACAGAGAGCATGGAGGCCACACCCACTGAGATAGTGGAGGTGGCATGAGCAAGTTTGAAGAGGACGGTGATGCTGGATGCAGTTTTAGACATTGAGTGTGCCGAAGAGCGCTGCAGGGAAGAGGGTGGGTGAGGAGAGAGTTTTTGCCTGTGCTCACAAACTGGCTGAGACCAATGTGCTGTTTAATGTATTGATAACTCCAAGTGCTTCACTCTCTTTAACCACAAAATGAGGCCCTTTTGCTTTTTCTCCTCATGGGGATCATGCACGGATTGCAATCATGCATGTAAAGTGCAGTATATTTATAAAAAGAGATCTCACCTCAGTGCTGAAGTTTTATTCTTCTCAGCCATCCCAAACGACATGACAACAGGCCCATTCTATTCCAGGAGCTAAAATATCAACAGGGACCCAAGGGCAGCTCTGTGCTTTCCCACTCCATATCAGACATTTATTTGGTGAAGTTTTAAAAACACTTGATATATTATTTACTAAAAAAATTACATGACTCACCTAGACTTCTGTTCAAGGTTTCATCAGGCAACAAGGTTAGAAAGTCACCATCATCATTTCTTGGGATGCTTTGAAGGATTTTCTTGGCTTTATGGTCCCTCTGTTTCTGCTTACTAGTTCTTGCCTCCTTGTGAAGACTTTTCTTCAGTTCAACTTGGGCCTGAAATTGACCAGCTAGCGTTAGTGTTCTCCCCTCACACTACCTTCACCAGAATAGGTCAACAAATCAGCCGCTTTACAAATTGTATATGTACCTGTAGACAGATAAATAGAACATGGTTCTCTGTTTCCTCTTAAAAGATATGGAAACTTTCTTCATGTGTAGGTTTGTTAGGAGAAATAGGAACATGCTGGTAGTCTCAAAATGGTGAGGACCTTTGTAAAACCGTTTCTCCATAGGCCGTCTGATATATTTGGAACTGAATAAGACAGGGACTTCAGGCTTATTCATTCGAGTGAGGAATTTGGAATATGACATTTATAGGAATACATGATTGTAAAGGGTTTTATTACAAGAGATCTTCCTTATCAAATGATTCTATGATTTAAATTATAGAGGGATGCCTAGGTATCAATCCCTGGGTTGGGAAGATACCCTGGAGGAGGAAACGGCAAGCCACTTCAGTATTCCTGTCTGAAAAATTCCATGGACAGAATTGCCTGGCCGACTACAGTTCACAGGGTTGCCAAGAGTCAGACACAACTGAATGATTGAGTGTGCAAGCATGTTTGCTCATTAGGTACAAGTACCAAAATAAAGACAGATTCACCCTCTGTCCTTTTAATTAAACCAGGAAAAATTATCTAACCTCATTTTCCTGCTGGAGCCAGAATGTGGTAGAAGAAACAGTTAGAAAAAGGGAAACTTGAGACACAGATGCATCCTTGGGAGGATGCAGAGAAGGGAAAGAGAAAAGACTCCACAGAGTTGGTAGCAGAAGGGATCCTGCTGTTTTCCTCTCAGTCCCAGTAGGGAAAACTTTGGCTGCAGTAACTAAATTTAAAATGCTAGGTAAGGTCTGGAGATGAATGCTTAACATATTCATGTGCCAGGACAGCGATTATGTAGCATACATTTGGTAAATACGACTCTCTTCTTCTCCTCATATTTACCTCTTGTCTTTTACGGTTCATTTCCAGCATTTGCATCTTATGTAAATATTGTCTTTTCCCAGAAGGATACATTAGAGTCTGCATCTTCTTTTCCAGTTCCTGCTATGAAAGATGACATACTTGTTAGGATGAGGGGTAATTGGTTACTCTGCAGTCCAACTCTTGAAATCCATTTTGGAACAGTGAGATCTTGTTTATCGGTCATAATCCATAGAGACCTCCTGTGACATCAAAGGTGGGCCACTGCAACTTCCAGACCAGTCCTTAGTGAAGCTATCGGTGAACGAAGGGGCAATCTGCTCTGTGTATCATCTTGTTTTTAAGGTTCCTGTAGAGTTTTGCAAACTTTGAATGGAAATATCTTTCTATATCTCATTTTGGCAAGATGTCACTTTCTGTGTCAACAGCTGCTTTAACTATCTTTCCAGAAATGTGTTCTGGTTTGGTGAGACCTGGTTCTCTCTCTCTGCTTCTTCTGCCATGGAATAATTGTCTGACTCTGACATTAGAGAGATGCTAACCTATTTATGTAGGGTATAACCCCATAATCCAATACTGTACACTGTAGTTTAGGAAGGATTGAAAACTGATTATTTAGGACTTGAGTGATCTTCCCTGGTGTATCAAAAACTCCACTAGGATGATGTGGACAGTTATTAAGGGCAGTCAGGGGGTGGCCAGGACGGGGAAGAGACATGGCAGCCAATGTGTTGAGTGATCCCTGTGGACAGTGCCTGTGTCAGCAGCTGTGAGCCTTGGGGAGGGGCCCATCTCTGCAGGTGTTTTGTCATCAGCATCACAGACATGGCCTTGAGGATCTAAGAGTAGCTGGATGTCTTTTATCAAATAGTCATCCACACAGCAGCATCTAGGTAACTCTGAAATGAATCAGGAAAGTGTTCACAAATTTTAACGCTTTAAGAATCACCAATTTCCCAATAAAATTCCCCTCTCTCATCAACATCTCCCTGTTTTCACCAGGTAGGAGAGAAGGGCTCAGAGTTCATCTGAGAGGCAAGCGTAATCTCCAGTTGGAGGCAGGCCCAGAAGAGAATGGATAGCTTTAGAAAGTTCTAACTCTGCATTACTTAATAGTTTGCTCCTCCTCTGAAGTCTTCTGTGCAGGGAGGAAAGGAAAAGGATGACCCCTCAGCTCCCTCCCTCACCGGGGTTTGCTCACCTTTGCTTTGTGAGTCCTCCTGGCGTCTTGCTGGTTCAGGAGCCTTTCAGAAGTAATTACTTGTGGCAGGTCAATGGGTTCAAGTTTCTAAAAGTCCAACATTTAGAGCAATCAGCATTCCTCATTCCATGAGATGATGAAACATAAAAGCCAGAACTTAAGCTATCTTAACACTCTGCACATATTCCTGAGAGCACAGGGAAGGTGATTTCACCAGGATTAAGTCCCACCTGGGTTCTTTGGTGTTCTCTTGCACTGTTGCCAGTGGCTCTGAGATCTAAATACTGGTCAGAGAGTTAAAGGACTAAGAACCCTTTTCTGTCTGCATTGAGGGACCACATCCACAGTAATCAAACAACAAGGGTCTTGGACTATTAGAGATGAGGGAGGCCTCAGAAGTTCCTTTACTTTATTCATTCCTTAAGCACCCAGCTAAACCATTCCAGTCCTAGCAAAGTGGCCTACTTTCAAGATCCCCAGAGAAGCTCAGCCTTCTCAGTAATAGTCCTGGGTGCTTATGAGGCACATGGAAAATGAAAGTGCAATACGCTAACAAATCTTAGACATGGATTTTTTTCCAACAGGGGCTTGACTTTACAGGGAGATGATGATGGAGTCTCAAGAGGTCACTGAGGCTAGGCAGCAACTGATGATCTGTGATCTGCCTCCAACCCTACTTGTCTCGGATAACTTAGTGCCCTAGGAGCTGGAGCACTAGGAAGTAGCTAGGTAGGCTTGGGAAACAAAGCTGATCTCCTCACGTTCAGATGCAGTCAGCAATCTGGGTGCTCACAGAATTTATTGGTTCACTCTGGGAATATTTATTGAATGACTGTTACAGGCCAGACAGAGGCTGCTGTGGTCAACAAAAATGGGGATGATCCCTCATGGCGCTTGCAATCTATGGGGAAATAAATACACTATTGCTTGTGTGATCATTGCTTTGCAGATAAATGCAGGATAGGACTATGACAATATATAACTAGAGGACTCCACCTTGGAAATGAGGGGTGTTATGAGTTGAATTATGTCCCCACCCCCTAATTCATATGTGCTAACCCCCTAGTACCTCAGAGTGTGGCCTTACTGGGAAATAAGATCCTTGTAGATTTAGGGAAGATGAGGTTATCCCAGAATACTAACCCTCGATTCAGTATGTCTGATGTTTCTGTAAATGGACAAATTTGGACATACATGCACACGGGGAGACCACCATTTGAAGATAAAGTAGCAACTGGGGTGCTGCTATAACACCCCCAGGAATTCCAAAGATTGTCAGCAAACCACCAGAAGCTGAGAGAGAGGCACTCTTCCACATAACCTTCAGAAGGAACCAACCCTGCCTACACCTTGATTTTGAACTTGTAGCTTCTAGAACTGTGAGACAATGCATCTCTATTGTTTCAAGCCACACAGTTGTTATACTCTGTTATTACAGCCCTAGAAAACTAACTCAAGGGAGAGAAGGGTCAGGATGCAGTCCAAGCAAATTTCCCAAGGAAGTAAGTTTAAAGCAGACATTGGGAGGTTGGGAGTTTTCATGGGACTTGGGCTTCCCAGGTAGAGCTAGTGGTAAAGAACCCACCTGCCATTGCAGGAGACATAAGAGACTGGGGTTTGATCCCTGGGTTGGGAAGATCCCCTGGAGGAAAGGCACGACGACCTTCTCCAATATTCTTGCTTGGAGAATCCCATGGACAGAGGAGCCTGGTGGGCTACAGTCCATGGGGTCACAAAGTCAGACACGACTGAAGTGACTTAGCATGCATGAAGTGTCCCAAGCAGAGGGAATCACATGAGCAACAGCCCAGAGGCAGGAGAGAACATGATCTCTTGAAGGAACCACAAGAAGTCAGTTGGCTGTTGTTGAGAGTGAGAGGAAGAGTGGCTCAAATGGGGTTAGAGAGGTCACAGGGACCAGGTCATGCAGGGCCTGATGGGGCATCATGAGCACATTGTTTTCTTAAGAGCAGCAGGCAGCTATTGACACATGGTGAGCCAAGTAGGGACATGACGACACTAGTTTTAAAAAATGATCACTCTGGTGCAGTGTGGGAACTGGACTGAAGAAGAGCAATTACAGATGTGGTTGAGCATTTAGGAGGACAAAGATGAAGGGCTGGGGGTTCATGTGGGGAGATTGATGGGGTCTACAAATATTTTAAATGGACCAAGCAAGACTTGTGATGGTTACTGAAGGAGAGTGACGTGTCCACAGACATCAATCCAAGGGATGGATAGTGCAGTCATTCTCTGAGATGGGGAATCCTGGAAGAGGGCCAAGTTTGGGTGGAATGTAGAGGGGGAGGCTCATGGTGGAGGTGCATGCGTAGGAACCATCCCTGGGTAGAGAAGCGTCCCTGAGTAGCCAGTCCTTGGCTCTGCTCTTCTCACTGTTTTCACTTGAGACTGTAAGACGAGTGAGGTCCAGAGGGAGAAGGGCAGGGTCAAGGGTTGCAGACTTCAGGCACTCCAACACTGAGGGGCTGATGGGCGGCGATGAACTGGCCAAGGAGACTGAGGAGTGACAGCCTGAGAAGTGGGAGGAAAACCAGGACGCCATGCCACGGAAAACAGCGTGAGCAGGACATCGGCTAAGACGCCATGCTCCTAATGCAGAGGGCCAGGGTTCAATCCCTGGTCAGGGAACTGGATCCCACATGCTGCAACTAAAAGTTCTCATGCTGCAAATAAGACCTGGTGTAACCAAATAAATCAACAAAACAAAACAGTGTGAGCACCACTGCTGTGGTCCAACTCTGTAAGCAAATCCTAATATATTTGGAAAGGATTTTCCTTTGTAATTTAATTGGTTCTGTTATCAAGGGGTAGGCCTGAAAGATAGTTTGGTTTTCAAGGTGACCAGGGTGAAAAGAGAGGGACAGATCATGGAAAATGGCTGTTGAGCTCCCATAATGGAGAGCACGACTTGGGCCTGCACCATTCTCCACCACAGACCTTTCTGGTAGAGCAGCCCAGTGCTGACCTGACAAGGAAGGGAAAAGGAGCAAAGGATGTGGGGACAGGGAGGAGAGACAGAGGGGGAAGAACTCAAGATCTCACATGCCCCCCCCTCCGCCCCCCCAAAAATGTTCCAGGCCATTTACATTTGTGGAAGGAAGTAGTTCTGTCTTATTCTCACCTCAGTGAAAAAGTGGATTTTTTAAAAAATATTAACTTAGCAAGGAGATAATGAGAGGTAATCAGTATTAGTTAGAAAGAGGTTTGTTTATTGTCTTGGCTCTCAACTCTGCTGAACATGAAGATGCAGGGTAAATGAGACCTGCTGTCGATCAAGTCAGAGCCTTGAAGGACTGAGGATGGAGAAGAAAAGGAAGGGGGAGGGACTCCCAGGGAGGGGATACTGCAGCACCTATGGGAGGAAGACTCAGCAATGACTGAGGGGGGATTCTGGCGTTTGGAAGGGCACAAAGAAAATGTTTGTGCCATCCCTGGACTTGGTTCAAGATTGGACTCTTTCTGGTGATTAGGCCCTTATGTCTGCAGCCACTGCTGTCCATCATGCCACGCTCACAGTGTCATTCAATCCTCATGGGAACCCTGTGGATAATTACAGTTACTCCCTATTTCACAGAGGTCAGTGACTTGTGCAGTTTTGCAGAGCTAGAAAGTGGTGATTCTGGGATTCAAACTCAGGTCTGTTCATTGCTAACTCCTATGTCACTTTCTTCAGACTTGCTTCCAAACCTGGTTTATCAGAATCTCCTGGAATCAAAGTAAAACTCCTAAGCTATTCATTGGGGATTGAGATTCAATCAGTCTGGGATATGTCCTGGCAGGAAGGGACATACAAACATATATATATATATAACGTCCAAATCATGCTTCAAAAGAAACGGTTTATTAGGTGCTCACAAACACGCAGCATGCCTAGAAATAGAATTTTCCTTGTCCTAGGTCACTGATGCCATAGTAGAGAACTGACAGTTTTCCCTGAGGATGTAAAGTATTTGTAACTCTTTATATACGTATGTATACATATGTATATATATGTGTGTGTGTGTGTGTTTTCTCTGGGCATATAGCTAGAGCATGGTTTTCTCTGATACCCAGAGAAAACAATAATTCAAAAAGATACATGCAAGCCAGTATTAATTGCAGCACTATTTACAATAACCAGGACAGAGAAGCAACCTAAATGTCCATCAACAGAGGAATGGATAAAGAAGATATGATACATATATACAAGATATGATACATATATACAATGAAATATACAATTATATACATATATGTAAAACACACATATATAATACATATATTGATACCAATGTGTATATATGTGTTTTATATATTTGTATATATATTTTTATATATTGATACAAATGTGTATGTATTTTACATATTTGTATATATATTAAATATTTTTATATATTATTTACACATATATATTTAATTAATAGAATTTATGTTTTAGACAAATGTTCATAGCAAAATTGAGTAGAAAGTACAGAGTTCCCATACTCTTGTCTCCAAACACACACAACCTTAATACTATCAACATCTCTCACCAGAGTGCTACATCAATGAGCCTATATGGGCACATCATTATTACTCAAAGTCTGTGGTTTACTTTAGGGCTTACTCTTGATGTACATTCTCTGGGTTTGGATAAATGTATCATGACATGTATCCATTATAGCATCATATAGAAAGTAATTTCACTATCCCCCAAAACCCTCTGTGCTCTGCCCATTCATTCCTTTCTCCCCTCAACCCCCTGGCAACCACAAATATTTTTATTGTCTGCAGAGTTTTACATTTAGTTGGAATCATATACTCTGTAGACTTTTCTGATTTCATCCTCATTTTCTTTGGATCCACAGTTGTGATAATGGTTAAGTAGTAGTTATCTCTTTTTTTTTTGTTTCCAATTTTTTTTTTAAATTATTTTTTATTGAATCATTGCTTTACAGAATTTTGTTTTTTTTCTGTCAAACCTCAACATAAATCAGCAATAGGGATATATGTATACACACACACACACACACACACACATATATATATATATCCCCTCCCTTTTGAACCTCCTTCCCATCTCCCTCCCCATCCCATTCAAAAAGTCT